GAGAAATTCAGTGACATTCTGTTATAACTTTTGAACCATCAAAGATATTGCAATGGAATTTTCACCAAAAATATTGAAAAAATAGTTATTTTCAACTATAGATATAATGTTATATATATAATATTACAAACTATTTGTAACATTACAATACTAACGTACCTGGAATTACTAGTTGGTCCTCGTAACCAGTGTGGGTGTAATATATACCGACTGGAACACAGAGAGATTATCTCCGATATCATTAACCTCAAAGTAACGTAACGTTGATATCTTTAAAACGTAATAATTTACAATCTGGTTCGTCTTGGTATGTAACTTTTAAAGAATTACGTAGAAGAAAGTATCCTGAAAATATACCGTTTGTCCGAAACTGTGAGTTCTTGGGTGTCAAAAGATATTCCTTGTCGAATGTAAAGAATTTTTACGCTTTTTGTATTTTATTAAACATTATATTTTTCATATATAGGATACGATAATCTTAATTCAAGCTACTGTTTCCTAACGAGAAATATTGCCTCCTAATGTTAAAAAAGAAAGCAAAGGAAAAAATTAATTAGGTTCATCGGGACATTGCGCGGAAAAGAGGCACATTTTTCAACTTTAAATTGTCGTATCTACTACAATTTATGATCATTTTTATTAATATTCTCACGTTCGAGGGTAATGGACATTTAACAAGCAATAAAAATTGACTGGACATCGATATGAAAAAATTAGGTTTTTGTCAAAAAGTCACTAAAATCTTCGATTCGGCCCTCTGGTGCGCCGCGCCGTCGCCGGACCACCGATGCGACGCGCGGCAAAAAAATGACGACCTCCATGGAAATTGCGTGCACGCGCGCCGTATCGGAAAATCGTGTCGGTATGAATGGGAGTGCTCGAGCCGGAAGCGAGCATCGTGGCGCGTCCGAAAAAGGAAGTGGAAAAATCGCTGTGATCCCCCTCGTCGTCGTAACGACCGGCCGGCGATCCGAGATCGAGAGGTGTGGAATCCGTTCCGGTTGACGTAATCGTTGCCGGATGCTTAGGCGCTTCCCCGAAAGAGTTACGATGATCTTTGTCGGTTGCAAATGTACGGATGTTTTCGCGATCGGCCGGACCGATACCAACCTGCTCAACACACCTGTACACGGAAGCGGCTGGCCGTGCCCCTCGTGTCCGAACTCTGACACAACTATAAATGCACGGACAGCTTCAGGGTAAGTGCAAGTATTACTTTGACAGAGAAAATAAGACCTTTTACGGCAATAGATTGATAACTCGAGCAATACTTATTATTATTTAACTTGAATATTTATTTTTGTCAAAATATTCGATCTCCGAAAGCACAAATTTTATTGAAAAAGCGCAGTATAAAGAAACCATAAGTGTGCATATATTACTGCGATTATGTATCTGTTACCGCGAGTCAAATATGTACCGCGAACGTTTCGATTACTGTGTGTCAAGGTTGACATAACCTATTTTCTCTTAAATGTACGCACACAGCTACAATTCCTAGGATCAAGATATTCTCACTGCAGCATTTTGCAAATTAGGCATAGGTGCTCTACGATCGAGCGTGCTCGCCCCGGTTCATCGAGAACTGCACTGTATAGGTTATGGTTCGGTAAAGCAGTAAAAATAAATAAAGCATCGCAGTAATGTACATGCATGGTAAACAACTATGCGACAAATATTGTTAGTAAATAATATTTGAGGATAGATGATAGCGACAGCGTACGTCGATCTTTAACCAAAGTAATGATAACTTTATCTAACAATAACGCTTATTATCAATTATCAAAATATAAATGCCTTACGAATCAGCGTTCACAGCTGTCTATTACGAGTACTTCGTAAGACTCGACGGTTTCATAAGTTTCCGAATATCAGAAGTCGATAAATGAATTAAAACCTGCGATTGCTGTTACTCGTACGTCAAAAAATTATCAATATTAAACTTATAAAAAATAATGAGATTCATTTTTAGAAGATTACGCGCTATAAAATATTAGATTTTATTACTTTTACAAAATAGAGGCGAGATTAGCTGGCGCGAAGCGACCGAGCCAATGAGCGGTCGGGGCTCAGTTTCGCTCATTGGCTCGGCCGCCTCGCGCTAGCATATCTCACCTCTCATTGGTCACTGCTTTTTCGTTAATAACTCTTAAACAAAGCCTCGTAGGACATTTTCGCAAAGGAAAAGGTTGCTCCAAATGATCTCAGGAATCACCTCGTCGAGACATAAAGTCTTTCGTTAATAACTCGTAAACGAAGCCGCGGATTGCATTTTCGCTAAGGAAAAAGTTACTTCAAATTACTTCAGGAACCCCTCATCTCTCGCTTGTACAATAATTTTGGGACACCCTGTGTAGGTGCATGCTCAGATAGGAGGGCGCCACAGCTAACTTATTAATCCCGTGTACCAATGAATTGTTGAGTATACAACAGAAAAACGTGGCACGTACGTGTTTCTACCTTACGATTTCAAGGTTAAATCCCGATATTCTCGAATAAAGAATCAATAAAAGAATTCGAATAACACGGAAGAGACGGGCTCCACAGCTCTCTATTGCACAAAACGTCTAATAATAAATTGATTTACCGATCGCGTGGAATCGGTCGACGGAGATCCTTGTTGAATTCGAGACCATTTATCTGCGTGACAGGCGTTCCTGGCGTAACTAGGAAAAGGATGAAGGAGAACATAGCTGAGATTAAAAATCAATCACGATTTATCGGGGCCACCTTGACCCGTTTACGCAATTTCTGCAGAGTTGTTGCTCTTTGAAACGTAGACCACTGAAATCGCTTGGATTCCAGCGATCATTTCATGGATCAGAGTCGCAGTAAATCCGTGGATACGCGGAGAACACGACGGGCCGCGCCGGATCGATCGATCGATTTGGAAAGTGAAACGCTGCCGTATACGATATTTTTAAGGACATTCGATTTCGGCAAATTGTCCGTACGTTGGCTCGTCGATCGAACCATCGCGACGATAAATTACAATTGCGTTCGCGAATTCAGTTGATGCTTGACTCTTAAACAAGGCCGGAAAATACAGGGTGTCCCGAAAATGTCTCGCAATCCGGAAATGGAAGGTTCCTGAGGTCATTTGAAGCAACTTTTTCCTTTGCGAAAATGTTCTCCGAGGCTTCGTTTACGAGTTATTAACGAAAAACGCTGACCAATAAGAGGCGAGCTCGGCTGGAGCGCGCGGCGGCCCAGCCAACGAGCGCACGGAGTCCAGTTCCGCTTATTGGCTCGGGCGTCTCGCGCCAAATGATCTCGCCTCTGATTGGTCACTGTTTTTCGTTAATAACGCGTAAACGAAGCCGCGGATTGCATTTTCGCTAAGGAAAAAGTTGCTTCGAATCACCTCAGGAATCCCCTACTTTCGGATTGCCGAAAGATTACCCTCTGTATAAAGGAAACCGTCGTTAGATCGCGCAAGCGTGGCTCTCGGCCGATTTCAAAAATGAAAACGAGCGATTAGATTTCGGTCTTCGACTAATATCGAGCGATCGAAGCAGTCGCATCAACTCGGCGGACCTTTCGCATTTACTAAAATACGCGACGACGCGCGGCGATGCGATCCCATTGGCATGCGAGACAATAATCGTAACTTCTAAACTAATCAATTTTCGGCCCAGGTACGTTAATAATTTTTTAAAGGGAACACATAGACGAATCGATTTGTACATAAATAATATACAGTTATGTTAACGCTAGATTTACGGAACCCGTCAAAATGACGGGACACTGATTTTTTAAATTTATATGTTACTTACGATAAATGTTACAATATATACAATTGTTGTTGCATATATTGTTGTTAATATACAATTGCTGTTGTATATATTGTTGTTAATATACAATTGCTATTTTTATAAACTAATATAAAACAGCTGCTTTTTATACTCTGCAAATCTAGCGTTAAAAAGAATTGCAACGATTTTGTTTCTTTGCTGAATAAAAAAATCTTTTATCAACATTTAGTATTGTAATCTTTTAGAGACTGTGTATCGACTAATTTTTGTTCGGAACATTTTCGTTTTGTTCCTTAATTGTTTACGTATGAACTTCAGATTACGATTGCGTTACAAGAAAATGAAAATATTGGCTTTTGATTCTGTTTCCATTGCTCGCATCGCTGTGCGTCGGTCGAAAAGTTTGAGAACCTCTAGCCTAGGTTTATTCTCGTAGGATTCGAGTGACATAATGGTCGGATGACTACACGATGACTGTTAAATGTGCAGCGAACTTGCGGGATGGCAGAGATTACCTCGAACGACGACGCCGGTTGCGGTAACAGCGCGGTACCTGCTCGTCATTGTTGCCGCTTATTGTCGGATGCACGCATAATGCGAACCCTAATTTCGCAGCGTGCACCTGCAGGCCGCGCCGCGGCCGCGTCCGCTGCGATCTCGCCGCGTCTCTTTCCCGTAAGGAAAGATCGTCTCGGGGAGCTTTGTTTAGAAAATTAGCAATTTGCTTGAGAGAATCTGTAATCTCGCTGTTCGATGAATTATTTATTACCGAGGAAAATGACTTCACTGGTGAAACTGTTGGTTCGTCGCTTCGTATCTCGCGACCGAAGCGTTATCACGGGAAAGTTTCTTTCGCGGTTGCCAATTTACAGTCAATTCTCCCTAATTGACGCTACGAGTGTGCACAAAAGTGGACGATTCACCGATTGTCAACGTCTGTAAAAATTAAAATTTATCTATCTGAAATTGTGAACTGCGCTGTGAGCAATTATTTATAATAATAAAATAATAATATATATAATATATATAATCAAATAATAAAATATATAATATATATAATCAAATAATAAAATATATAATATATATAATAAAATAATAAAATATATAATATATATAATAAAATAATAATATATATACTATATATATAATAAAATAATAATAATTTTCACCGATGTTTGAACGATCGTCAGAAGAAAAAACTATATTCGCATATTTCTATTTTCTATTATTTCTAAGGTAGAAATATTTAGATAAAATGTTCCATTAAGTTTTTGTTTAAATATCGAGAAAAGTGTGAAAATTGCTTCGACTCTGTACAATAAATTGCCCCTAATTGACGCTCAGATTGTACACAAGAATGGACAATTTGGGATGAGAAAATACGATTCTTATAGTTACCCATTGTCAATAACTATAAAAACGAGCCGCGAGGCTCGATTAATCGCGACTCAGTACTCTCAGATTTGCCGTTTAAATTACCTCTGCTTCCCGAATTGTCCATTTTCGTTTTTAAGCCGAGAGCGTCGATCAGGGAGAATTTACCGCGTACGCATACTGTTCCTAATCGACCGGCATTTTTACGTCGTCGCGTTCTAACGATTTACAATCTATTTGACATTGCGAAACGCTTCGGGGTCCGCCATGTTTGTTTATACGCTCCGTTGGCAATGTTTTCCCCGACGGAGACCGAACTCCGTCCCTGAATAACCGTTGTGAATGCTCGCATACGCAACACGGGGACGTTTATGGTTACGTTATAATTATGTGGCCGCGCGACGACGCGAAAGGGAACGATGAAAACGGTGAAAGTGGAATCGGAGAACAATGTATAAATCTGATTCCATTATTCCGGCGACGTGAAAATGGGTGACGGAGAAGCGGCCGCGTGTATCTTTCGGCGATTGTGTCTCGGCGGAATGCGACGGTTGGACCGCGGGATATTTATGCGAGATAAAAATCGTCTGCGTCGATTGAAAGAAATAGAAATTAAGCAAGCAAGCTCGCTCTCTGTTCGGTTGTTCAACGGATTAAAAATGATGCGCGTCGACAGTCTCGAATTCATCTAATCTGTCTGCTATTTTAACCCCTTGACGTATCATTTCATTCGCAGTTGCTGCCATTAGAGATTCTTCGATTGCAATAATTTCTTAGGAGGGAAAGAAAATTGATGCTTATCGTGTGCCTAAATTTATTTGAATGCTTGAACATTGATGACAAGAGGTTAGAATTTTATTCAAATTTTAGAAGATGGAATAACATTTATACTGAATAAGTTATTACTAGAAAGGGTTTCATATCGTAATCGCATTCAACCGATTTTGCCATAAACGCATTAAATCCGCGGTCTAACAATGGGCAACGCTTTTCATCGTTATGCATTCCCTTCGCGTACGATCGGCAATGCGCGGTGCGCGTGCACATGTTCGACAACGATGCACGGTAGAGCTCTAACAGAGGCGATCATTCCATCCGTTTCATGACTGAACGGTGCACGGTGGGCCGTGTATCCGCTTATCGCGTCCAAAATTCAAATTATTCAGATATTACAATTTAAAAACAATTTTGTATATACTTATTAACCAGTTAGCCACGGCGCCCCCTTCTCAGAGCGTGCACCTATACAAGATTTCCCAAAAATGTCTCGCAATCCGGAAATGGCAGGTTCCTGAGATCATTTGAAGTAACTTTTTCCTTTGCGAAAATGCGATCCGCGATTTCGTTTACGAGTTATTAACGAAAAACGCTGACCAATGAGAGACGAGATTAGCTGGCGCGCGAGGCAGCCGAGCCGATCAGTGGAATTGGGCCGCGCGCCAGCCGAGCTCGCCTCTCATTGGTTAAGTGTTTCTCGTTAATAACTCGTGAACGAAGGAAGAAGTCACTTCAAATGATCTCAGGAACTCCCCATTTCCAGATCGCGATACATTGTTGTTTGTGTCGCGAGAATCAAGCGATGACAAATATACTCGTCGAACACAGAGCAGGTGTCACTGTTAAACTATTGGATCGAAAAGACGATTTTATTTTATACAATTAACAATTGTACGACTAGTATTACCCGTATCATTATAACCTCAACAACGTAACAACACTGAAATAATTTTGGAGACAATAAATGGGTTTGCAGGCTGCTGCGCGGTGGCTTATGGACACGCAATCGATTTCCATGTAGCGCCCGGATTCCTGCGCCATTGTTCGTACGCGTGTGCAAAACTTTATTAAATCGTAATCGCACGACACAACAACAAGGATACGCTTCGATTTAACGGCGATAATAATAATAACGATCGGATATAACGGCGATAATAATAGCAACGATCGAATATAATGGCGTACGAGAGTACATACATACACGGTGGCTTAATGAATGAAAAGAAGATCGGCCGAAGGAAAGACGGAAGTCGGCTGAATCTCGACGCAGCAGAAATTTTAGATGAATTGTAACGCGCTGCGGCGACGCTGGCGACGGCGCAGCGGGCGGGGCGGGGCGGCGGCAGTCGAAGCGGCAGCGCTTTCTTCGACGTCGAACCTATGCGGTATTGCGTCGTTGGCTCCCGTCCGATGTTCCACTTCGGCTATTAATTTATTGTTCGACCAATGACCTACGTCACCGGGATCCTTGAACCATCCCGCGCTTTCGCCGCGAGGACGAGGAGGATTGTAAATAATAGGCGGCATCGACGAAACAGGATCTAGTTAACATATTTATGAGCGGCCCGTGGAATCGGATATAGTCGATCATGGATCATAGGACCCCACGGATCCGTCGGCTAAACGATGATACATTTGTCCGCGAAACCTACGCAAATCCTCGGCGACTGTCGGACAATCGCTCGTCGGCCGTCGGTAAAACATTCGTTACACTCGGAGAGCATCTCGAAGGGCATGGAACCCTGGAGAATGCGGTCCTAAGGACCTAACTCGAACCAGCTGGAAGAACCGGATGAACAAGATCGAGCCGTTTCCAGCCGGCTTTGCCGGGTTCTCTCTCTCTCTCTCTCTCTCTCTCTCTCTCTCTCTCTCTCTTTCTCACCCCTTTCTTTCTCTCTCTTTCTCTCGCCTCTTTCTTTCTCTCTCTCTCTCTTTCTCTCGCCCCTTTCTTTCTCTCTCTCTCTCTCTCTCTCTCGCCCTTTCGCTCTCTTCCTCACTCTCGCGCGCGCTCTCTCTCATGCACTCTCTCTCGCGCGCGCTCTCTCTCATGCGCTCTCTCTCGCGCTCTCTCTCTCTCTCTCTCTCGCGTTCTCTCTTGCGCTCTCTCTCACGCTTTCTCTTGCACGCGCTATCTCTCTCTTCTTTTCTCTCTCTCTCTCGCGCTATCTCTCTTGCGCTCTCTCGCACTATCTCTCTTTCACTCCCTCCTTCCCTCCCTCCCTCTCCCTCCCACTCCTCTCTCAATTTTCCCTTGTGTACCGTTCCGAACTCGTTTCGAATTAAAATCCCCTAATGCACAGCTCTCTTTTGCATCCGCCGGTCTCGCGTGTCACTTGTAATTATTATCGGGACACATCTGTTCCTGCTTTGGAAATCGATGTTTGCCGTGCGTCGGGTTTCTGCAAAAACAACCCTCGCATTTCTTCGCTTTATGTTTTACGATCTTTCTAATGCACTTTATTGCTTCTGTTCCTAGTTATGTATCATTTCAAACCCAACTTACCACTCGATCGTCTATCATGTTTTAAGGAGTCGTTGGAAGCATTTAATATCAACAATCATTTAATATTAAAAAAATGTAAAAATACTGTTAGCTTATTTTCAATCAATAAATCTACTTTTCTGCTTGGATTTTCATTAATACTTCATTAATATTTTATTAATACTAGACATATAAATAAACAATTTTGTTAAATCTTATCAAAAATAGCGTTGATTTAATAAAACTGCAACGCTTTGAAATCGCACATACGTTTATTTAATTCTCTTAAAAAATGCACGGAAGCCGAGAAAGTCGGAGAAAAAACGGCGCATCCGTTAAGTGTTAAGATAGTCGTCTCCTCCTCTTCGAGTCAAATCGACCACTATGCCGCGGGGGTGTTCAATTCATTGACACGTTTTTTAAACTTACTCAAAACTTACTCAACTGAGAAGTCATTCTTCATCTACGACGAATTCTATAAAATAATCGTCTTCGATCAGCCGGATCGACGTAACGCCGGGTCGCGATTAAATCGCGCGGCAGTTTTTCGCGTCCAGCGCGCGCGCGCCCGCGAAAATCGGCGCGCACGTGGTCGGGATGTTTTGAAATTTCGAGCGTAGAGAACGGTGTCAGGAAAGCAGTTCTCTTTTTTCGGCGCGATAGTAGTTCCTGTTGAGAGGTGACGTCTCGCGCGCAAAGAGACGTAAACACTGGAAGAATCCATGGTGGACTATGCTCCTGAAAGCGGCCGTGGTGGGGGGGCGCGACGGCGGCGCAGACGTCACCGCCGGGCGAACATATAATCGAGCGATCGAACGGGAGCAGGCCAGTTTGCACAGACCGTTCGAGTGGAATGCGCTGTTGCGTCGTTCACCGTCGTCGACCCCACGTGAACGTCTCTCGGCGCCGTTGTTGAAACGAATTGAAACGTTATTCACGCGAACGAACGTCCGACCGAAGATCCTTACGTAACTCAGTGTTGCGACCCCCGACGTCGGTGTTCCATTGAGAAGTTCGAGTTGTTTGAACGAACCCTCTATCTACACGTGTAATAAACATACATATACACACAGAGAGAGAAAGAAAGAAATAGAGACAGACGGCTGTGTGCGGTACGTCGAAGGGATCAACGCGCGGCAGAGAAGTGTGCCGTTCCGTCGGGCCCATAAAAAAGTGAAAAACGCCAATAATGACCGATCGCAGAACATTTGTGGTTTTCGCCGCTGCCCTGGCGCTCGGGTGTCACGTCCTGTGCGTCACTGGTTCCGCGATACCCATGTGGGAGTTTCTCTCACGGGACGAGAAAGTAAGTACGCATTGTCTCAAGGTTCCGTCGTTCGCTGTTCGCGCGCGCTTCTCTCCGGCGTGCTTTCCTCCGGCGGCGCGAACGCTTCGGCGGCCGCGCGGCAGCGACGGGCTATTCGATACCATCTATGGCGAACGTTTAACAGTCGCGCATTTCCGTCTCCGTCGATTCCTACCGTTTTCGTCCGCGCGCATTTTCCACGGGACTCCTGCGCCGCCCGGCCGCGCAGTCCTCCGCGAGAGAAAAATAACAAGCGACGTGTCATCGCGTCGCGCGGCGAGTCGCACGCGCACGATATTGGGAAAATCGGACTTTCACCAAACAGCAGCATCGGCCACGCTGGAAAAATCCTTTCCTCGCGCACTTCGGTCGCGCGCTGCAGTCCGGCCGGGTGCAATTGCGCGAGCGCGTCTCGGACATTGACTTTTCTCACGACATTGCGCCGTTCTTCTCGCGCCAGTTCTCTCTCTCTCTCTTCTTCGTTTTTCTTCTTTTTTTTATCGTTCTGGTACACTCCGAGCGAACAATCGGCACGGCTACGATCGAGCAGAAAATGTTCTTCGAACTTTATCGGGAGCAATCGAAATTGCGTGACGCACAGTGGACTGGATCGAGAAATTCAGTGACATTCTGTTATAACTTTTGAACCATCAAAGATATTGCAATGAAATCTTCACCAAAAATATTGAAAAAATAGTTATTTTCAACTATAGATAATTAAATCTTGTTTGCATTTGTTAAACAATAATTTTTAATTAATTTAACCTTGACATTTTTTGTAAAAATAAAAATTGTTCAAATATAATGTTACAAACTATTTGTAACATTACAATGCTAACGTACCTGGAATTACTAGTTGGTCCTCGTAACCAGTGTGGGTGTAATATATACCGACTGGAACACAGAGAGATTATCTCCGATATCATTAACCTCAAAGTAACGTAACGTTGATATCTTTAAAACGTAATAATTTACAATCTGGTTCGTCTTGGTATGTAAGTTTTACAGTATTACGTAGAGGAAAGTATCCTGAAAATATACCGTTTGTCCGAAACTGTGAGTCCTTGGGTGTCAAAAGATATTCCTTGTCGAATGTAAAGAATTTTTACGCTTTTTGTATTTTATTAAACATTATATTTTTCATATATAGGATACGATAATCTTAATTCAAGCTACTGTTTCCTAACGAGAAATATTGCCTTCTAACGTTAAAAAAGAAAGCAAAGGAAAAAATTAATTAGGTTCGTCGGGACATTGCGAGGAAAAGAAGCATATTTTTTGGCGTCAAATGTAGTGCTCAAAAGTGTTCAACTTTAAATTGTCGTATCTATTACAATTTATGATCATTTTTATTAATATTCCCACGTTCGAGGGTAATGGACATTTAACAAGCAATAAAAATTGACTGGACATCGATATGAAAAAAATTAGGTTTTTGTCAAAAAGTAACTAAAATCTTCGATCCGGCCCACTGTGCGACGGTCCGAATCGGTCGCAAATTATTTTGTCGTATTCACGGCACGAAGAAAAAAGTGCGTATTCGAGATAAATAATTTTTGACTCGGCGTTAATAAACTGCGATTACCAGATCGCGGATCTTCGTGGAAAATAGAAATTTTTGAAGACGATGTGTGAGAAACAGAAGTCGAATGAATGAAAATTGTTTTTTTTCGATCGCTTTAATTCACTGAGAACAGCGGCAACGATGTTGTTAAAAATTCTTTTCACGTCTTCGCAATTTTATATTTCAGCTGCGCACTTTTTGTCGCGAATGCATCGAATTTCAGCGATTACACGTGATTAGAGGAGCCGATAGAACGGCGCGATAATCGCGGTTTTCCCACGTTAACGAACGGCGGAATGTAGACTGTATATTATTATACATATATACAGAGTGTCCCAAAAATGTCTCGCAATCCGGAAGTGGCGAGTTCCTCAGGTCATTTGAAGCAACTTCTTTCTTTACAAAAATTTTCTCCGAGGCACCGTTAACGAGTTATTAACGAAAAACAGTGACCAATGAGAGGCGAGCTCAGCTGGCGCGAGGCGGCAGAGCCAATGAGCGAAACTGGGCTTCGTGCGCTGGTTGGCTGGGCCGCCTCGCGTCAGCCGTACTCGGTTCTTATTGGTCACTGTTTTTCTGAAAGAAGTTGCTTCAAATGACCTGAGGAACTCGCCACTTCCGGATTGCGAGACATTTTTGGGACACCCTGTATATTATATATTTTCAGCTGTATCGCTGAAAATTCGTTCGAGTTGAATGTACCGCAGAGACGTCTCGGCGACGTTCGAATAAGTCGCGCTGAATTTCTCGCGTCGTATCTCCGCGCGACGCGCCGACGTACGTTACACGCCGAAGGTATTTCACGGTTGGGCAAGTAAAAGAAACGTGAAATTGGTTTCGTCGCGTTGCATGCAACGCGCCGGCTCGTTCAGGGCTGCGCGCGGCTCTCTAAAACCGTGCGTTTGCACGTTCGCTTGAAGTTCAAGAACGCTCTCATTATTCACGCTTCGATCGAACTTGTTGTATCGCAGCTACCGATCGACACGTAAATGGGTTAACGCAGAGGCGGGTTTAGATTTTTGCCGCCCTAGGCTAACATATCTTTGCCGCCACGCAACGTAAAGAGAAGGCGAGGCGAAGGGTGATCGCAGGCGTTTCGAATACCAGATTTAGTGTTCTTACAAAAACGTATATCATCTGTTGTTTTATTCTTCCGCGTCACTTTTCCTTGGGGGTTTCTATTTTGTTGACTTTCCAGTGTATATTCGAATGGATTTGGTCGAGAAGTCTAAAAATCGGAGCCCCGAATCTAGGAATGTGATTGAAATGTAAGTCCTGAATTAATTCGTCAAAAAGTTATGCGCATCCAAAGTTGAATTTCCAGCGTTTCTTGAGAGGTTAGAGTGCCATATTGATGCGTACTCGGTCCACAGGCGTAGTTTAACGAGCGGCGCCATTGACAAATAAATTCAGGACTTATGTTAATTACGTTCATAGATTCAGGACTTATTTTAATTACGTTCGTAGATTCAGGAATTATTTTAATTGCATTCCTAGATGCACTGGAAAGTCAAAAAACTAGAAACCCACAAGAAAAAGTTTAACTTTGATCTCCATCAAACAATTAGTCCAGTCGAAATGTAATATAATATATAAGAAAAGTTAATATTTTTTGGTCGATTTGTAATGATCGGTTGTAAAACCGTTTAAGATCGTACGATATTTTACCGCGTGAAGAAAACCTAAACGCGTGCTAGGTTATGTCAAGGTTTTGTGTACAATAAGGTTATGTATAAAATAACCTTAACGGTCCGACGCCGTCATATACGCGGCAAAGATCAATCAAATCGTAAAATCTGATAGGATACTATGGAAAAATAAATCCGACGATTTTTATGAAAATATATAAGATGAATTTTTACGAAGTAAATTTTGTTTCTTTCGTATATATTTGATGTCAAGATCTCTAATACAAAATATCTCTTAGTATGAAAAATAGCATATACTCGGTACGATATGTAAACTTGAAATACCTCTGGACTGCATTATAGGTTAACATATCCGGTATTATGTTTGCCAATGTTGCGAACAATTTTCCAGGAACCTACATTCGCCGGGTCGACGCCGTTTACTCGTTTCGCGCTAATTGTTTATACAAGACCCAAAGACTTTCTCCCGTTTCCGGAATCCTTTAAGAGACAACACAATGATCTACCATCGATCACACGTCGCCGGTCTATCTAGGTCAGTACTGGAAACCGTGCATCCTCGCTCATGTAGTCCGTCGTGATTCGAACGTGTATTACGTAGCACGCTGCACCTAAAAGTGACCATTGCTTTTTACCCGACCAAACAATAATTACAAAGGAGGACTGCGACAAACAACTGTCACCAGATACAGTAATGTCTCTCTAATTGACGCCCAGATTGCGCACAAAAATGGACAAATTTGGGAAGAGAAGATACGATTATTCGAGCCTTGCGGTTTATTTTTATAGTTATAAATTGTCCACAATTATAAAAATGAGCCGCAAGGCTCGAATAATCGTATCTCCTCTTCTCAAATTGTCCATTTTAGTGGACAATCTGAGCGTCAGTAAGGGAGACATTACTGTACGCGGAACAACGTATATAGTCCTCGCGCGAGAAGAAGGCGCCTTTGCGCTTATTTTCTCCCCACCCCCACATTTATTTAGCTGCCCCACTGCCGCGGCACTCGATCACTATTGGCCGAGAACGGCGGCGAAGATCGTCGTCGGTCAATTCATATTATTCGGGAAGCGCAAAGAGATTCGATTATTTGATAATTTTTACAGTAATGTCTCTCTAATTGACGCCCAGATCGCGCACAAAAATGGACAATTTGGGAAGAGGAGATACGATTATTCGAGCCTTGCGGTTTATTTTTATAGTTATAAATTGTCCACAATTATAAAAATGAGCCGCAAGGCTCGAATAATCGTATCTCCTCTTCTCAAATTGTCCATTTTAGTGGACAATCTGAGCGTCAGTAAGGGAGACATTACTGTACGCGGAACAACGTATATAGTCCTCGCGCGAGAAGAAGGCGCCTTTGCGCTTATTTTCTCCCCACCCCCACATTTATTTAGCTGCCCCACTGCCGCGGCACTCGATCACTATTGGCCGAGAACGGCGGCGAAGATCGTCGTCGGTCAATTCATATTATTCGGGAAGCGCAAAGAGATTCGATTATTTGATAATTTTTACAGTAATGTCTCTCTAATTGACGCCCAGATCGCGCACAAAAATGGACAATTTGGGAAGAGGAGATACGATTATTCGAGCCTTGCGGTTTATTTTTATAGTTATAAATTGTCCACAATTATAAAAATGAGCCGCAAGGCTCGAATAATCGTATCTCCTCTTCTCAAATTGTCCATTTTAGTGGACAATCTGAGCGTCAGTAAGGGAGACATTACTGTACGCGGAACAACGTATATAGTCCTCGCGCGAGAAGAAGGCGCCTTTGCGCTTATTTTCTCCCCACCCCCACATTTATTTAGCTGCCCCACTGCCGCGGCACTCGATCACTATTGGCCGAGAACGGCGGCGAAGATCGTCGTCGGTCAATTCATATTATTCGGGAAGCGCAAAGAGATTCGATTATTTGATAATTTTTACAGTAATGTCTCTCTAATTGACGCCCAGATCGCGCACAAAAATGGACAATTTGGGAAGAGGAGATACGATTATTCGAGCCTTGCGGTTTATTTTTATAGTTATAAATTGTCCACAATTATAAAAATGAGCCGCAAGGCTCGAATAATCGTATCTCCTCTTCTCAAATTGTCCATTTTAGTGGACAATCTGAGCGTCAGTAAGGGAGACATTACTGTACGCGGAACAACGTATATAGTCCTCGCGCGAGAAGAAGGCGCCTTTGCGCTTATTTTCTCCCCACCCCCACATTTATTTAGCTGCCCCACTGCCGCGGCACTCGATCACTATTGGCCGAGAACGGCGGCGAAGATCGTCGTCGGTCAATTCATATTATTCGGGAAGCGCAAAGAGATTCGATTATTTGATAATTTTTACAGTAATGTCTCTCTAATTGACGCCCAGATCGCGCACAAAAATGGACAATTTGGGAAGAGGAGATACGATTATTCGAGCCTTGCGGTTTATTTTTATAGTTATAAATTGTCCACAATTATAAAAATGAGCCGCAAGGCTCGAATAATCGTATCTCCTCTTCTCAAATTGTCCATTTTAGTGGACAATCTGAGCGTCAGTAAGGGAGACATTACTGTACGCGGAACAACGTATATAGTCCTCGCGCGAGAAGAAGGCGCCTTTGCGCTTATTTTCTCCCCACCCCCACATTTATTTAGCTGCCCCACTGCCGCGGCACTCGATCACTATTGGCCGAGAACGGCGGCGAAGATCGTCGTCGGTCAATTCATATTATTCGGGAAGCGCAAAGAGATTCGATTATTTGATAATTTTTACAGTAATGTCTCTCTAATTGACGCCCAGATCGCGCACAAAAATGGACAATTTGGGAAGAGGAGATACGATTATTCGAGCCTTGCGGTTTATTTTTATAGTTATAAATTGTCCACAATTATAAAAACGAGTCGCGGGGCTCGAATAATCGTATCTCGTCTTCCCAAATTGTCCAATTTAGTGGACACTCTAAGTGTCAGTAAGGGAGACATTACTGTACGTTGCGCATTCGAGAAATACAAAGGCATTTTAGAGGACCATAGCGTGTCGTCGAGCCAGTTACTGTGGGGTGACCAATTGCTGTGGCCAATTTGTTTGTTTTCAGGCATAATCGACTTTATATTTATCGAATAAAAGATATGAAATTATTGCATTCGAACGCAAACGAAATAACAGAATGAAAAGATTTAATACGTCTTATTCGATGCATATAAAGCTAATTGTATTTATATTATATGTTAATGATGTACTGACAATAGATATTAAACTTTTTTATTCAAAAGTAAACGATACAAAAGAATGAAAAGATTTAATGTATCTTATTCGGTGCATATAAAGTTATTTATGTTTACATTACATGTCAATATGATGCATTAATAAAAGATATTAAATTGTTTTATTCGAAAATGAACGAAACCAAAGAACAGAAAAATTTAACGTGTCTTAATCGATGCATACAAAATTAATTTTATTTATATCACATGTTAACGATGTACCGATAAGAGACGTTAAATTGTTTTATTCAAAAGTAAACGAAATAAGAGAATAAAAGATTGAATATCTCTCTTTTTCGATAAATATAAAATTAATCGTGACCGAGAACGTACCAAAGGCACACAGCAATTGGTCACCCCACTGTCCCATAGACTACTATCGGGCATCGAGAAACGAATTTAGCCCATTTGTTGTTGTTTCGCATAACATTCGCAGTGATTGGTAACGACGTGAAACGAGACGATCGGTCAAACGAAATCGATTTAATATGAAAAAGAGGCGGCATTGAGAAACTTCTGAAAAAGATTCCACCCGTTATGCAAGCGAGTCTGTCATCACCGGTCGCATGTCGCGTTCCTCCCCTCCCCCCTACCCCCCGTGTGCCGTAAGTTTTTTGAGAGGGCCCGAGGAAGCTGTTACAAAAAACTGTCATTAGAAATTCTAAGGTCGGCCCGTAAGCGTAATCGGTACGGCCATAGAAGGGGCGCGCGTGTGTGTGTGTGGACATCGATTATTGCGCTTTATGTAGGAACGCGAACGGGGGCATGTTTCGTCGCGTCGACGCGACGCGACGCGACACGACGGTTAGAATTTATCGTGACGAAAACGACAAAAAAAAGGCGGCTATCGCAATCAGGTCCGATACGTGACGGACGGGACGGGCCGGGCCGCGACACGCATATATATTTGTTTGTTATAACTGTCGTGTAACCGATATCCCGTGCGTTACACATTGCCGAGTTTCACCGGACGCGCGCGGAATGCATTGGCGTACGGAATGGAAAACAGCTTTCGCGATGTATGTATCGGTACTTCGCCGCGGACACATAAAGGAACCAACGGCAATTTCTACGGACTTTTGCAACTACGGTAGAACCTCGATTATCCGATGCAATGAATCACGCAGGTCATTCTGTTCGAACAATGGAACAGCTATATTATGAAAACGTCGGATTAAATATTCTTCCGTACAGATCGTTTTAGATTGATCTGTTCGCGTATACAATGGTGTTTAAAAATAAAGAATTTAGGTATCATTAGTTCGGATATTCGAGGTTCTACCGTAGTTGCAAAAGTCCGTAGAAATTGCCGTTGCGGTTGTACAATAGACTTTGAAATAATTCTTTGCTTGAACCAGACACTCAGGTCCCATTTATTATATTTATTTGAAAGGTCCATTCTTTAGTAGACGCTTTTACATGCATTCGTGGTTTAAAAATAAATATCTACCAACAATATCGTTGCCTAGTTGATATCACACGTGTTGTACACGTTTAGAAAACTATACACTGTGGATAGAATGAAATGGAGGTATTCAGCTGATTTCTGACAATTTATTTATTCATTTATTAATTTGTTTATTTATTTATTCATTTATTTATTTATTTATTCATTTATTTATTTATTCATTTATTTATTTATTTATTCATTTATTCATTTATTTATTTATTTATTCATTTATTTATTTATTTATTCATTTATTTATTGAATATACATGGTAGTCCAAAAAGGTCTCGTAATCCAGTAATAGGGGATTCCTGAGGTGATTTGAAGTAACTTTTTCCTTAGCGAAAATGCGATCCGTGGCTTCGTTTACGAGTTATTAGTGAAAAACAGTGACCAATGAGAGGCGAGCTCGGTTAGCGTGAGGCGGCCGAGCCAATGAGCGGAACTGGGCATCGCGCGCTCGTTGGCTCGGCCGCTTCGCGTCAGTCGAGCTTACCTCTCATTGGCCACTGCTTTTTCGTTAATAACTCGTAAACGATGCCTCGGAGAAAATTTTTGTAAAGGAGAAAGTTGCTTCGAATGATCTCGGGAATCCCTCATTTCCCGCTTGAACAATAATTTTGGGACACCCTGCATACGAAAAGATACCCATTAGTTATAGAATTACAAGAAAAAAAGGATGAAAAATATACAGAGGTTTAGAATAACTTTTGATACAGAGTGGTAAAAAAAGAAAAAATAAGATAACCGCAATACCTTAGAATTAATATTATATATTATAATATATAATAATTATAATATAATATTATATATATTATATTATTACGTAATGCGTCTTAAATTCTGTTTGAAAAAGCCCAGTGGAAGATTGAAAAGTAAATACAATAAAATGAAGCGAAATTAGTACGAGATTAATAATGCGAAGAACGCGTTCGCCGGAGAAACGAGTGAAAATGCGATTGAAAAGATTACCGGAACGATCGCGATTGCTATACAATTACGGGTCTACTCAGTGCTCCTTTTATTTTAGCCTGTTCATCTAACCGGAACGTTTTGTTCCAGATGAGCCACCTGTTCCGGATGTTCAGCCAGCAGGTGGCCAAGTTCTGTGCCGATTCCTCGATGCCGGACTGCAACAAAAATCTGTTGGTCTCCTGCCTAAGGAATTTGGCGAACATGGACGACGCTGTTCTCGATAAACTGGACCCGTATCAGCACGGCGCGAAGGAAATGAGTAAGCGATATTAACTCGTCTAGAAAATTTCGGTCATCTTTGCAGTCCGGTCGAAGAGTGTGCTGCGTACGATTGTAATAACAGCACGAGCCGTCGGCCCGGTGGATGCGACGGATTCCTGAGGTAATTTCAAGTAACTTTTTCCTTAGCGAAAATGCAATCCGCCGCTCCGTTTACGAGTTATCAACTAAAAACACTGACCAATCGGAGAACGACTGCGGCCAATGCTGCATCGCGCCGGCTAGCTGCCGCAGCGGCAGTGATCGCGAGGGCAGGGCGTCAGCGGTCTCTCATTGGTCAGCGTTTTTCGCGAATAACTCATGAACGGAGCCTCGCAGAAAATTTTTGCAAAGGAAAAAGTTGCTTCAAATGACCTCAGGAATCCTCCATTTCTAGATTGAGAGATATTTTTGGGTCACCCTGTATGTATAGTCGTGGGCGTAGAAAATCGAGTTGAAAAATTCGTGGAGCTCGCGTGCCTCGCGTACAGACGAAGTAGAAGTGGCGAATCATGGCCAGACTCGCCAGTCATTGTGTATCCAATAGCGCGGATTCGTTGGGGATATTGAAACTGGTTTTTCTCGGAAACGGTGCTTGATAGGGAAAAAAGAAATTGCAGTCTAGATTGCCTTTTCGTAATTACATGGTAATTACGTTCGTTAGCTAGTTAGCTGTTTTTGCCGAGTATGCTCGTAATAGCAGATAATATCTCTATTTGTTCGTGACGAATTTCTTGGTGAAAAATGAGCCAAACAAAATTCTTTACTAAATTATATATTTCATGAACGAAGTGTTGTATTTGAACGAAATGTGAAAAAAAGATCAAACAGTATAATTAATACAGTATAATTAATAAATATTACGGATTTTATGCATTTATTGCAAACATAAAATAAACATAGAATAATGAAGATATTGGAAGAATTTTGTTATGAAAGTATCTGTTACATTATTTTTTACCGATTAAAATTATTGAACGAAGAAACGCATTGTTATTCAATTCTTGTTTTATACGATTAAACATCAACATTTTTATTTTGCATAAAGATTCGCAGTCTAATCATGAAAGTGACTTGGACATTTTTCAAAGACAATACAACAGCTAACTGGTTAAAATGTGGCAGTACATGCAAATGCGCAAAACACTGTAATCATTGTATAAAGAAAAAACAGCCGAGTGATATTGGATAATCGTTCGAACATTAGCACGAATAGTGATTGACTATTCATGATCCATTAACACGCTTGTTTTTTTGTTTGTCTTTCATTATAGTCTGGAGCGCTATGGTGAAGAACGGATTTTCTACTAGGATCGGCCACGAGCATGATGATTCCTACTTCACAACCGGATCCGATCCATTAGGTGCGTGTGTAACTTGAATTTTGAGAAATCATTTCTTCCTGTAGATCATATTACAGATATCGAACAATTTCTTTCGATTATCTTGCAAGATTCGGGATATATTGACCTAGAAAATATTTGGACGGAATATATTGACTGAATATACTGACACAGGAAATATATTGACGGTATATATTGACTGAATATATTGAGTCAGGAAATGTATTGTCTTAGAAAATATATTGACGGAATATGTCGACTCAGAAAATATATTGACGGAATATATCGACTTAGAAAATATATATTGGTGGAATATATTGACTCGGAAAATACATTCACTCGGAGAAGTAGCTCGTTCGTTAAACCGGCATTGCAATCTCGCATCTTGAAAGGTTAATGGCGCCAAAGTCGAGCAAAACGATAAATTAGAAAATCGCTGGATGTTGTTCGCTTGAAATTAGTGGTGCAGCAGAGGAAATACCCAACATCGATCGGACAGTTCGAAAATGTTCTTGAACTAGCGTGCAAGTCCCCTGTCTATCACAGCCGTAGTTCGCGTAAAAGATAACTGGCCGGGCTGTTTGAAAAATAATTAACGAGTGAAAGCTCTAATCGATGGAAAATCGAAACCCGTTTGAGAATGAGATTAGACCGTTTCGTCTGGGCACGTTAGGCGCGCGCGCACGATCACCGGCGGTTCACGCTAATTAACCTTTACATTAACCGTGAAAATTGAAATCGCACGGCAGCCGCCGGGAAAAATCACTGATCGTTGGGATCAGAGAGAGAGAGAGAGAGGCCGTTCGATGTCCGTGACCCGAGACGAACGAAAACAAATGGCGGCGACGCGCCGGTCGCGAGAAAGTTCCAGCCACCGTCTCAATCGCTTTCGTTACACTAGAAAGTTTTTTTTTCATCTTTTTTTCCTCCCTCCCCCCGAACGAGATCGCGTTTTGATAGCGGCGACGCTCGTTTCTCGGATCGACCGCTTTTCTTCGGTGCACTTTCACCCGATCCGTTGCGGCGATCATCGGAGATTTTGGTGTTCCCGGTCTAGGGTGAAGGGACCAATTACTGTGCCCTGTTGGTAGCCTTCACGAGCTTTTGCTGCTGAACACAACTTTAACAATTTAAAATTGTAATAATTATGAAGACACTTTCGTGAGAAATTATTGAATAAAATACTTTGTTGCAGCAATTGCAATCAGAAAAACTTTACACAAGTTGATTTTTACTAAAAATTGCTACACCATTTCCAAAAGAATTTCCACGTTATTAAAATTTTCATACTTTTGTCAAATAATAGAAGTAATAACGTACAGTATAAATAAATTATATAACTTATAGTATAACTTATATAATTAAATATAAATCTATTATTAAAATAATAACAGAATTTAAATAAAAATATAATATTAACTTATAGTATAACTTAATACTATTTTTATTTAAATTCTATTTCATACGTGTCAAATAAAAACAATCATACCAAATGGAAATACTGTAGAAACAAATGTCTTCATTCTCGCGTTAAAATAGCCTCCAGTGCAAAGGGTTAATTTCAAAGTTTCTTTTGTCGGTAGAAATTTTTTCACGGCACAAGTGTCACGTCTCCTTCGAATGTTAGGCTTTACTGAAAATTTCGAGAATTCGAAATTCAAAGAATTGAAATAATTTTCTGGTATTTTCGGAATTTCCAAATTAATAATATAATTTAATATTATATAATCTATATAATATTAAATATATAATATATATTATATAATTTAATAAAATAATTTTAACAAATAAATAATTGATCGTATTTAAATGAAAAAATTTGACGTCTCTCTAATTGGTTGTTCCGCAGCAACTGGTTCCACTACCCTAGTTGCATAAAAAAACGGATGCCACGAACGGAACACCGGAGATGCTGCGGACGTCGAGAAAGAGGTCAATTTCTTCAAAAGCACTTTCACGTTTTCTCCGACGGAAACCAGCGCGCGCGCGCTCGCGCTTTCCTGCACGAAACAAGATCGAAAAGAAACCAATTCGTTGAACGTACCGATTAGAAACGCACTTTAAAAAAGAGAATAAAAAGAACAGCTCCATTTCCGCGGCACGAAATTGCGGAGAAGTTTCACTCGTGCTGGAACCCGCGCGCGCGTACGCATTCCCGAGCATGCATATGGATCTTCATACATATTCCGCCGCGATTCATCGAATTTCACTTCCTTTCACGATCAGCACGGCCGATAAGTTTTTCCGACAACGGTGTATGTATTTAAGTGATTGAAATTAGCGTCGGATTACGCGGGATTAAAAACTATCGTAAGATATATCTTCGGGTGTATCTTCAGGTCTATCTTCAGGTATAAATCATCGGATATATCCTCTTGAAGAACGTAGGTAATAGTCGATCGTTCGTTCGCGGTTCTTATACAGTCTGTGTAAAAAGTACTCGTACATCTTTTAAAACGGACTAACAATTTTATAAATGGGCCAAGCGATCTAAACTTTTTTTGGAGGGGGGGGTGTTATAGAGTGGGATTAGTTCACTATACAGGGTGTCCCGAAAATGTCTCGCAATCCGGAAATGGGAGGTTCCTGCGGTCATTTGAAGCAACTTTTTCCTTTGCGAAAATTTCCTCCGAGGCTTCGTTTATGAGTTATTAACGAAAAACTCTGACCAATAAGAGGTGAGCTCGGCTGGAGCGCGACGGCCCAGCCAACGAGTGCACGGAGCCCAGTTCTGCTCATTGGCTCGGCCGTCTCGCGCCAAATGATCTCGCTTCTGATTGGTCACTGTTTTTCGTTAATAACTCGTAAACGAAGTCGCGGATTACATTTTCGCTAAGGATAAAATTGCTTCAAACCACCTCAGGAATCCCCTACTTTCGGATTGCGAGACATTTTTGGGACACCCTGTATAATAATGGCTAAAAAGTTGTTTTCAAAAATTGCAATTAGTTTGAGCGCCAGAGAAAAGTAGAAAACTCGCATCTTTTAATTATTCAATCCGAGATTTCAACGAAATTTCCAGNTTCCTGCGGTCATTTGAAGCAACTTTTTCCTTTGCGAAAATTTCCTCCGAGGCTTCGTTTATGAGTTATTAACGAAAAACTCTGACCAATAAGAGGTGAGCTCGGCTGGAGCGCGACGGCCCAGCCAACGAGTGCACGGAGCCCAGTTCTGCTCATTGGCTCGGCCGTCTCGCGCCAAATGATCTCGCTTCTGATTGGTCACTGTTTTTCGTTAATAACTCGTAAACGAAGTCGCGGATTACATTTTCGCTAAGGATAAAATTGCTTCAAACCACCTCAGGAATCCCCTACTTTCGGATTGCGAGACATTTTTGGGACACCCTGTATAATAATGGCTAAAAAGTTGTTTTCAAAAATTGCAATTAGTTTGAGCGCCAGAGAAAAGTAGAAAACTCGCATCTTTTAATTATTCAATCCGAGATTTCAACGAAATTTCCAGCATGTAGATAAGTCACCAAGAGCTACCAAAAAACGCCTTATTCAAATTTTAATTCTAGGATCAGATAAATAAATTTTCCTTCTTTTGTCACTCCAACTAATTTCTGAAAACAATTTTTTAGCCACTGTTTAGTAAACCGATCCCTCTAACACGTCAACAAAAAGATCACCTGGCCGTATTATAAAAAAGTAATTCCATTTTTGAAAGGTCCGCGAACACTTTTTACGCCGACTGTAACTCAGCGAAATTTCGTCGTTGTCGGCGACACCGTCGGAACATTCGAGCGACTTCTCTCGCCCGACGCAGGCTCTTGCGGTGTCTAGAGCGTTCGGATAGCAGAGCGCTAAAATATGTTAACGAGAACGGAGCGACAGCTGCGCCGAGGACCGTTACGAAATTCATTTGAAATCGTCCCGAATGAATGAGATTCCCGCGGTGACTCCATCGAGGTGTCCTCACGCGAATGATAATCGCGATCCGACGATCGAACTGCCGGAAGTAGGAACTACCGATGCGGCCCGGCGTGAAAATATTGCCCATTCGATTATCATAACGCGGAGGTCGCGTCTCGGTTTAAAAAGTGGCTATCGCGCCCGGCGTACACGCAACGGCGAGCGCGATTTAACTAGTTAGCTGTGGCGCTTCCATTTCAGAGCGATGACGAGTATACTCGTCAAACACAATGTAAGTGTCGTTGTTAAAATATTGGATCAAAAAGACTTTTTTATTTGATAAAATTAACAATTTCATTACTAATATTTACTTATTCGCTTGACGTTAACAAATATACCATATACATAATAAACGAAAAACCCAGGGATAATCGAATACTTATAAAAGTTAAAAATTCAAATTGCTGCTGTAGAGAGAGAGAGTGGTATTTAGCAAAGCAAGGAACAGTATACAGTGTGTTCCAAAAATGTCTCGCAATCCGAATGTGGGGGATTCCTGAAATGATTTGAAGCAACTTTATCCTTAGCGAAAATGCAATCCGCGGCTTCGTTTACGAGTTATTAACGAAAAACAGTGACCAATCAGAGGCGAGATCATTTGGCGCGAGACGGCCGAGCCAATGAGCAGAACTGGGCTCCGTGCACTTGTTGGCTGGGCCGTCGCGCTCCAGCCGAGCTCGCCTCGTATTGGGCAGTGTTTTTCGTTAATAACTCGTAAACGAAGCCTCGGAGGAAATTTTCGCAAAGGAAAAAGTTGCTTCAAATGACCTCGGGAACCGTCCATTTCCGGATTGCCAGACATTTTTGGGACATTCTGTATAATGGCGCTTTGCACGTTCAACATCAATAACGTGATTTTTTATAATTTTATTTTTATAACAATGCAACTTCTTGCAGGATTGGCCTGAAAATATTTTGAACATCTTGAAATTTCAGAAAATGTTTTTGTTTCCCATAAAATTACAATTTAAATAGCCAATGATCGCTACTTCTTATGCGCGACGAGTATACTCGTCGTGTCACAAAATATTGCCATTTCTCCATGACGACTATACTCGTCGAACACAGCTAACTGATTAAACGTGGCCGATCGTGCCAAAAATATTTACGACGGAAAGAGTTGAAAAGTTCGCGCACCGTAACGACTCCGTGTCCCCTTTACCGGCTAAAACCGTGTCTCGTTAATTTTCGAATCATCTTCGCTCGACGGATCGCGCATCGATCCGATCGATTCACTATGCGCATAATTGATTCCAGCCATGTTTATTCCACCTGCTACACCGCACCTTCATTTGCAATTCGCGTTATGTCACGCGAGGACTCGAGGACTAGAAATTCGTCTCGGTAATCGCGTTCAGCTTCTCTCGCTATTTTTCAAATCGCTGGAAACGCATTCTTTCACTCGTCGCGATCGATTCTTTTTGCAGGATATTTCAACGTGTCAGACGTCGGATTTTTCTGCGGAATATAAATTTTACGCTCTCCTAAGAAATAGAAATTGAATAAAAATAAATGTTGTTCCTCTTAATAATCTTAATAAGCAGCGAGACAATAGACGATGCTGTAAGATCCGAAACGAGACATTGCATAAATTGTTTACCTGACTGCTGGCTCTCTGATTCTCTGTCGGTGTATTAATACTATGTTTTGTTCTTTATTGTAAAAAATGGGCGCCATAATTCTTCCGCCATTCTTCCATAACCTAAACGTGAAAACGGTGTCGGCTCGAACGCCGAGAATTCCGCGAGCTGTAACGCGACTAACGTGAAACGTCTTTTCAGCTACCAGCGACAGCGAGACGAACGGCCTGAGCGAAGAGACGGAGCCGTCGCACGATTACGTTCGGCCGCCCGCGGAGCACACAGGCCCGTACTTGGTCGGGCCGATGGTGATCCGTGTTTACCCGGATGGACGGCCGGTGCCTGAGGACTCGACGCGCCCGTTGCCGCGGGACGAGGACGTCGACGAGTACAGATCGTCTCGCGTGCCGTCGATCGAGGAACTCGAGGCGGACGGCCGGAGCTCGTTCTACGGAAAACGATCCAAGGGTAACACGTTTCCCGAGGCTAAGAATCATCGGCGTCACACGCCGTTCGACAGGCGGCTGCTGCAAGAGGTCGTCGCTAAACGCAAGATCCGTTACTACTGAGGGAGCGAGACTCATCGCTGAGGAATGTACCTTCGGACGCCGGAAATGACGGACGCGAACGAGGAACCGCGTGTCCCGCGCAACGAACGCCGTGTTCCCGCTTGGTTCGACCGTTTCGCCGGGTCGGCTTGTACGACTCGCACGCGTGCAGATCGTTCGGAACGATGTGATTGGTGATCCGAACGCCGGAGACCGAACTTTCGATGTGCTCGCACGAGCGAAGATGCTGCGGACTTGATCAAGTGTCGTCAAAACGCCTGTAAACGGTGTTCGCACAGAGTGCACCGTCCGACTGGAACTGTAGGCTCTTTCACGGCGCAAGTTGGAGACAGAATTATCCGTTACGTAGTTGTAGGGGGATTCGTTGTGTACACGATAGAATTCGTTTCCGATAGATGTCGCTGATTATACAGGGTATCCCAAAAATGTCTCGTAATCCGAAAATGGCGGGTTCCTTAGGTCATTCGAAGCAACTTTTTCCTTTACAAAAATTTTCTCCGAGGCAGCGTTAACGAGTTATTAACGAAAAACAGTGACCAATGAGAGGCGAGCTCGGCTGGCACGAGGCGACTGGCGCGTCAACCGTACTCGATTCTTATTGGTCACTGTTTTTCGTTAACGGTGCCTCGGAGAAAATTTTTGTAAAGGAAGAAGTTGCTTCAAATGATCCGAGGAACCCGCCATTTCCGGATTACGAGACACTTTTGGGACACCCTGTAGAATTTAGTCTTATATGGATTGCTTGTTCGTCGATAATAGTATAGGAGGAAATTTGTCTGCAAGAAAAATTTTGGTCGGTAGTGTACGTAACTAACGAGCGAATCGGTGATATTCTTGAAACAGCTAGGCATTGTTAAACATCCATTGATACACTCGTGAACATAGAGTTAGCGACGGTGAGTTTAAAAAGACTGCTCCTACGAACGACATTCTCACGTTTCACTTAATTAGTAATTAATTAATGATAGACCTCGTCGATCTTCAAAATAATTTCGACGTACGCAATGAGGCACGAGCTGTTAGATGACGATTGGTCGGCCATTAAGGCTCTATAATTTCATCGTTGTTGATTTTTCGTTCGCGTAAATTTCTCATAATTCGCTGTACATAGTTCGCTTACGTGTACAATTGAACCGCTATCACGCACGAATAATTGCCGACCATGAATACCTTCGATCATGCACACCTTCTCATTCATTTACCTATTTATTTCATCGTCCCTGTAATTGTTATTTATTGTCGCATCGTTACCCGTCTAGAATTCTGATCGATAATCGATTATAATTTCATGAATTAAATGTGCTCGTTATCTGATCCCGCGAGAGATTTTTTTATGACAATCGCATCATCGAGTTCTTCTTTTTCTAAGATGTTATACGCCGAACGTGGCGTATAAAGGAACTTACCTCGCTGAAAAATTTTGTTTCATGTTTAGCGCGAAATGTATGTATTTATAATATTAAACGAAACATATTTTTTATGCGTACGACGTGTTATTGTAATTTATAGAAGTCATACACGATTCAGTTTCCATGGTTAAAACGAGATTGTTTGTTATCGATAAATCGCATTACTCTTTATTCGCAGAATTGAGAGAAGAAATATCTATCGTATAGATAAATTTATCGGATAACTGTTAGATTTGTATGCGCATAATGCACGTGATATTTTATGACAACACATCGCATAGTTCTTTTTTCATTTTTATCTACTAAAGAGTTTTTTTTTATACGTGTATGTGTCTAATAGTAATCTAGATTTTATATAACAAGTTTCGTACTTATATACATACGTAAAACTATATTAGATTGCTATTAACGAGAACATTTGAAAGCGCAATACGCCGGACAGCGAACAAATTATATTCATAAATTTGTATAGATGACTTTAAATAAAATGTGATACTTCAATTCGATAATATTGTGTGCTCCCTTTAATTCTCTATAATTTATAAAAATAATTTCTCAGAAATATTTAATCGACTTGCTGGGTAATTAGAAATGCTTGATAATTGTATGACACTTCTATTTTAGTAAGCAATAAAAATTTTTATATGTGAAAAAGAGACTAAAAGAATGAGAGAGGGACCTCAAAGTTACAAAAATGTGTAACGGAATTTTCTGCATCTATATTATGCGTGAAAAGATTATTTGTTATTGCAAATACAAAGAACAGATAATTCTTACCCTCTTTGCTATAAAAAAAACAATATTAAATCCGGTACGAATCATCTACCGCTAAAAATATAAAATTACCGCCGTCACACGTAGCGGTAAACCGCTCAAACTGTTTGCCAAAATCAACTGTAGATAATTTGCCTACCACTTGCCTACTCTACATTATCGTCTGTGGTTAAATTCGCAGAACAGTTTGAGCATTTTGTCGCTGCATGTTCTGGCGCTGTACGGATCCCGTAACTCTGTTTCGAAATTTCACCACAAGCGGCGCCACCGATCACAAATGGCGCTATTTGTCAATTTTCTTGAGCAGATAATAATTTGTGCCGGACTTTACATTGTATCTTACGACAAAAGCGACAAGATCTCTATGCCTCCAACAATAAATTACCTTTTCTTGAATCAGGTATAGGTGCGGAATATTCTGTAGCCGTTAAATGTCTCAGAAAAGGGGGTTTCAAATACGATAGAAGTACGATTATGTGTTTTTAATAATTATGTGTCTTACGATGAAAATAATCTTTCTAACCATTGTTAGTCCATGGAATGATTCGTCCTTGTTAAACATCGTGTTTTACCGTATCGTGTTTCAAATACTGTCGCGCTTTCCAATGTTGAAACCGAAGGGAGTGGCAACGCTGTCTATATGTGGTGCGTCAAGGTATTCCAGTGGATTGAAAATGTACCTGTGATCGGGATCACATGAGCGTTGATTTCACGCACCCGACGTTGCATAAAATTTAACGTTACGTACCACGTTACGGCGGAATCGCAACGTTTATGCAGGCTGCAACGCGCATCAAACAATAGCATGTGATTGAACAAGACTGGTATGGCCCAGGCCTTAAATGTCATTGACCGACGACCCTTGAACCATAAATGTACAGTAATGGGACCTACTTTTGCACACCTCCAGGCTGCAGCCTGATCCATTAGCAAGGGCGATACAGAAATTTTCTTTGCTCTGATTGGCTGACGATTCACTATCGAGACAGGATTCACTGCGGATTGGGCGCGCCAGCATAGGGAGTAAGAAAAGCATGCAGGTTAGGTCTCACTATTGTACATATACAGGGTGTCCCAAAAATGTCTTGCAATCCGGAAATGGCGGGTTCCTCAGGTCATTTGAAGCAACTTTTTCCTTTACAAAAATTTTCTCCGAGGCTTCGTTTACGAGTTATTAACGAAAAACAGTGACCAATAAGAATCGAGTATGGCTGACGCGAGGCAGCCCAGCCAACCAGCGCACGAAGCCCAGTTCCGCTCATTGGCTCGGTCGCCTCGCGCCAGCCGAGCTCGCCTCTCATTGGTCACCGTTTTTCGTTAATAACTCGTTAACACTGCCTCGGAGAAAATTTTTGTAAAGGAAGAAGTTGCTTCAAATGACCTGAGGAACCCGCCACTTTCGGATTGCGAGACATTTTTGGGACACCCAAAAAATTCAACCATTAGTCAGTGATTTTGAATGATCATATTTTATTCCGCGCGACGTCAGAGTGAACAGTCATGTATCTTTGTTTCGCAGGATTCTGGGAATTTCTATACACGCGCTATACACATATCGCGTCTAGTAGTATGTATGGTCTAAGGCCGGACCGATTGTTGTTTACCGATCTTGGTTCTCCGTTTTCCATGGTTCAGCTAAATAAGGCAAGGGCGGAACAAGTATTTCGGTGGAAAGTGTATGGGGGGGCGGCAGAGTGAGATACGAAGGAGGCATTGAACTGATTCTCATTGTTGAGTTTTTTCAAGTATTATTTAAATAAATAAAAGGAATAAAAATGTCCTATGAAACAAGTAAGTGACGCTCAACGTTTTTGACAGCTTTTAACATCGGCGAGTCAATTTATTACTGTTTTTTTAACATGAACATCGTGTCTTTCAACTTTCCGGTTGCTTATCTCAAGCCAAATCATAACACTTCAAATGCATCGATGATTTATGTGCAATGTGTCAAGATGGATTAAATGTATTACATTTGTTAACCCAGGTCGTATTTGGCCACGTATGCAAGTTCATCGTACCGATCATTCCGTTGCATTTATTTTTTTATTTTGTAATGCGGTATTATTTGCGCCTCGCTACCTGGCGATTCATTCGGTTCGGCTTTATACTTATCGCTTATCTCCTTTTTTTTCTCTGTCTGAATGACGATTCGTTGAACAGTTAAGATAATTGACACTTGTCCGATCCAAGTCTATGAAATATTTCCGTTCAGTGAAAATAAATGCGAGATATATGAATTTAACTTAAAATTGCGAACAATGCCTAGATTTGAATTTTTACATTTAAATTATAGATACCACTACAACGTTAGCGGTACAATAAAAATATGTTTATTATGCAATGTATTACAATTATAGCGGTTTGCAATATGTATAACATTATTAAATAAAATTTATTAGTAAAATTTTCAATAAACCATTAAGATAGTATCATCATCATCATAATTTTAGATCAAGATATAGTTTGCATGCTTGAAATAATTTCCAATATTGCATGTTGGACCTATGCCAATGTATCACGGAAGTGCATAATTTTAGTTCCAGTTGGAAGATATAGTAATCTACTGTAGAATTTACTTTTACAATTTTACATATAATGAAGAATTAAACGGTATAGAGAAGTTATTTTTCCACATGTTATTATGTCAATAATAATACATAATAATACACAATAATATTATTTGCGAAAGCTAGTTTAATTTGTTATCAATGATTTCAATACATGTATACATTTATATTTACAGAATACATTTTTGCTACATTGCCCAGGACTCAAAGAGGACAACCCCTTGTCTTAGGTGCTGATCCTAAAGGGAAGAACTTTTTGTACACTAATGGTAATAGTGTTATCATTCGAAATATTGATGTGAGTATATTAATTCTTCATTCGAGTCTATGGAAAAATATTGAAGTAAATAATATAATTTTAATATCTTGTTATTTTATAGAATCCAGCCATTGCAGATATTTATACTGAACATTCTTGTCCAGTTAATGTTGCAAAGTATTCTCCCAGCGGATTCTACATAGCATCAGGAGGTATATCAAATTTTAAAGATACAATTTTACCTATCGCAATGTATATATGGAATTCAATTAATAAATATATTTACTTTGTTACTACAGACCAGTCTGGCAAAGTACGTATTTGGGATACCGTTAACAAAGAACATATTTTAAAAAACGAGTTCCATCCCATTGGAGGACCCATTAAAGATATAGCATGGTCACCTGATAATCAACGTATGGTGGTAGTCGGAGAAGGAAGGGAGAGGTAAATAACAGGATATTTATCCAATGTAGTTCCGAATTTAGTAATAAATTATTCTTTCTACGTAACTTTAGATTTGGTCACGTATTTATGGCGGAAACCGGTACATCTGTAGGTGAAATTTCGGGCCAGAGCAAGCCCATTAACTCTTGCGACTTCAGACCTGCAAGACCATTTAGACTGATCACTGGAAGCGAGGACAATACTATTGCCGTTTTCGAAGGACCCCCATTTAAGTTTAAGTACGTACATTTGAAAGAGAAACGTCTATGTTTACGCCTTTTATTTAATAAGACAAACCAAGTTTATCTGTTGTTTGTTGTAGAATGACCAAGCAGGAACACACTAGGTTTGTTCAAGCTGTCCGTTACTCGCCTAACGGCAATCTGTTCGCGTCTGCAGGATTTGACGGGAAAGTATTTATTTATGATGGCACAACTTCAGATTTAGTTGGAGAAGTCGGATCCCCGGCTCATCAAGGCGGTGTATATGGAGTAAGCATGTCAAATGTTCTTCATTATGTTTATTGCTAATAAAATTAGTGAATCAACGATGCCTAGTAAAAGTAATATTTAGCCTATTATTTATCGGTTTACTATAATTCCGTAGGTAGCTTGGAAACCTGATGGCACGCAATTACTGACTGCTTCCGGAGATAAGACATGCAAACTGTGGGATGTGGAAACTCGTTCACTGATTAGCGAATTCAATATGGGACCAGCAGTTGATGATCAACAGGTATAATAGCGCAATAAATTTAATTGTTATCTCAAGTCGAATGTTAAAGCTTTTTCCTTAAATCTGCATCCTGCTTATTTTAGGTGAGCTGTTTATGGCAAGGAAATAATTTGCTGACTGTATCGTTAAGCGGATTTATCAATTATCTTGATGTCGACAATCCTGAAAAGCCAATTAGAATAATCAAGGTAACACGGTATGATCTATTTAGTGGTAATACTTTATCAAGAATAAGTTTGACGTTGTTACAATTTTTAGGGTCATAATAAACCAATAACAGTATTAACGTTGAGTCCTGATAGAAGTACAATTTACACTGGATCTCATGACGGATACATTACCAATTGGAACGCAAATACAGGAGAGAATGATCGCATTCAGGGCCACGGCCATGGGAATCAGATCAATGGAATGAAAGCCGCGAAGAATTTGCTTTACACTGCTGGTATCGATGATACCTTGAGGACGGTGGAAATCGATGCGAACACTTATACAGACACATCTGTTGTTAAGCTGGACAGCCAACCGCGAGGTCTAGATATTTATAACGATATTGTTGTAATTGCTACAATTAGGCAGGTAAAGATTATTTTATAATTTCATTAGAATTGAAATATTTTGCACTTGTGCATCTTTAGAGATAACGATGATTCTATTTTTAGATCACTGTTACTCAAGATGGCCGGAAGGTATCAAGTGTACCTATTGATTACGAACCTTCCTGCGTGTCAATTAATCAAGAGAATGGTGACATAGCTATAGGAGCTACATCAGACAATACAGTACGCCGATTAGTTCTTATACTATATTTCAATTACGTTTATTATTTTCAATTGAATGCCTTGGCTCTATTACGTAATTTTCAGGTTCATATTTATACATTATCAGGCACGAGTCTAACTCCTAAAACTGAATTGGAACATTTGGGTCCAGTCACAGATGCGTCATACAGTCCGGATAGCAAATATTTGGTAGCTTGCGACGCAAACAGAAAAGTGATTCTTTATGTTGTCCCGGAGTACAAGGTAAAAACATTTCCAGTATTTAAAGAAATTGCAGAAACTAAAATTTACGCTATTCATGTACAGCTTCAAAGTAAAATATTAACCGCTTCTCAAATATGTCATTACATATTCAGTGCTTACATTCTTAGTGGTGTAAATTCATATTCCACGCTTCTAATGTACGTAGTGCGATTAATATCTATTATGGGCGAAACATATATGTAAAACGCTAGTACGTCTATGTCTTACATACAAATTTGTTTGTAATAATTGCTCTTCCTAAACGCTTGTGGGAATCTTAGAGGGTGAGTAGATCTTTAGCTTCGATCTTACTGCTGCACTGGCAACGTTGCTGTCACAAATATTATTTGACAAATTATATTTTTCTAGCTCGCGCACAATAGGGAATGGGGTTTCCACAACGCAAGAGTGAATTCTGTAGCGTGGTCTCCTGACTCGGATATGGTCGCCAGTGGTAGCCTGGATACAACGATCATTATTTGGAGCGTTGCAAATCCGGCAAAGCATACCATTATTAAAAGTAAGTGTATTTGGTATTTCGTTTTCTATGTTCTGATGTTATATGCAATAGAAAAATGAATTTCTAACGGAATTATATTTATTTCAGATGCTCACCCACAAAGCCAAATAACGCGTTTAGTGTGGCTTGATGAAGAAACATTGATCTCAGTAGGGCAGGATTGCAATACTAAGATATGGCGTATAGAAAAGATTTAATTAATTTCACGTAATATTTATCTTATTTTTCGTTTCCTTTTTTCTTTGAAGAGCTTATCTTTGGATGCATTTTATTTATTTTGTAGTCAATGGATATTGTGTATTATTTTTTAATACGATCCTTAAATAAGATTAATCAGATTCTACTGTGATCTTTTTATATTCGATACATTTGAAAAGAATGATCAAAACGAGTGACACGTTACAAACAAAAGCCGCCGCCGCGATACTTTTTTACATTTTCATGCAGCGTCAATTATAAATAACATTTTTACACACTGTAATTATTTTTTAAATGTTTACAGCGTAACGATAAACACACGGTGTTGTTTGATTCTTCAATTTTTACTGGGTGATTGTAAAAAGAATTGATTGTGGAAGAAAAAAAAAGAAATCAAAAAACGGATATATTTATTGTCTACTCTGTCTTTATTAAAACAGCGTAACGATAACAAGAAAAACAGTAACAATTCGAACACTAAGGGTCTCGGAGGAACGCGATCACACTTTTAAATTATTTGTACACTTAAAAACAAAATAATTTAGGCATTATATAATTATATATAATTAATATATTAATATATACGTGTATATAATTATATATAATTAATATATTAACTTGCCCTATTCTTAATCAGTCTAGTACTGAATATCTCTTA